ATTAACAGCATTGTGTGAACACATCAAACATTTAAAACATGTAAACATTGAGAAACATCAAATCTCAAACAGTCAGGTTATTTTTAAACTCAATAAAGTGCATTCGTCTCCATCCATTCTGTCATCTTGTTCTTGTGTTAATCTTCGTTTGTTTAATTCAACCATCCTCCTCCTCGCAGGTCTCTGTAACCTTTCAGGTGTTGGAGATAATTAGGATCAGCGTCGACCAAACCGACGAGAGGATCCGAGCCAACAACTGAACGTCTTCCTCACTCAGATCCTTCAAAAGAAGACCACATAGAAATATCATCATTTAACATTTACTGTTTTATCTTTTAAGGAGCAGTATGTAACTCTGACACCTAGTGTTTAAAATGGGTACTGCAGTCTAAATTCTAAACATTGTAAAGAGCTGTTCCCCCCCATCCTCTCTAGAGTTGATGCTCACACAGGTTGCCATGTGGTGGACACTGAAGCTTCAGTGTTGAGCCAGTCAGAGAAGCCAGCACTTCAACATAGCATGTTTCCTTAATGTCTGATCATATAGTAAGGTCACTTTATCATTTCACTCTCTACACATCTTACTGATTGGACCTTTGAACAACATTTCACTTCCTACTGTTTTTATATAATAATATAACAAGTACTATATTTGTTTTACAGCCAGCAGTGAACAACATTAAACCAGATTTTTGACTCACCTTCTTGTTGGCAGATGATTCTGTGAGCGGTGATCTTAGAGTTTTATTTCCCTTTGAAGAAATCATCAGAGAAACAGTTAGTTTCTTTGCCTTTAAGGAGGATTCAAATCTTTAAACACACAGAAGAAATATAGTGTCGACTCACCTCTTTGAGTCCTTTTGAAAAACACATGATGATGAAGAGGAGGCCGACGATAATCTGAGTGTCAAAATAAAATACCCAAATTAAACAAACAAATTCTCACAGGAAGTGAAAAATGTGCCGTAGCATGGTACTCACTCCCATCAGGTGCAACATGTGTGTGTCTCTGTTTCTGTCCCTCCAGCTCTGATGAGTTAGTGAAAGAAGGTTCAGTCTGTCTGCACAGGGAACTAACAGGTAAGAAACTATCAGGTAAAAAACAGGACAGGTGAGTCATGAGGACAAAGGGCGAGAAGAACCAGCAGAACAGGAAACACCACATTTCATCAAAGACCGTCAACAGGACAGATAACTCATTTGACAAACGTCAGCAGAGAGAAGCGTCAACATATCAAAGTATTCAGTGTTTATGACTTTATCATGAACGTGTTTCAAATGTAATCATGTAAAGATTATATTCAACTTTACACAGATATGATTGAAAACTAAACTGTAATGTCTGATGTCCTCTGGTACAGTTCACAGTTACACCGAGTTAAAAAAGAAACCAGAACTTACAACTATAGTTATCCTTATTAACTCATCCATTCATACACATTCATACGCTGCCAACAAAGCAGTGGGAGCAATTCAGGGTTAAGTGTCTTGCCGAAAGACACATCGAACAAGTTGCTGCAGGAGCTGGTGATCGAATCCTCGACCTTCCGATTATGAGTTGACCGACTCTACCACTGAGCCACAGCCTCACCAACCGTACCTTTCCATTACTAACCATAACTAACCCTACTAATAAAGTTAGTTAGTTATGGTTAAAGGAGCAGTGTGTAACTCTGACCCCTAGTGTTTAAAATGGGTACTACAGTCTACATTCTAAACATTGTAGAGAGCTGTCTCCCCCTTCCCCCCTCCTCTCTAGAGTCACTTTTTTTTTTTTTTGTTGCCAAAAATCAAGAAATACAATGAAGCAGTTATTTGTATAATCACACGGATTATAGCCTACGTTATTAATTAATATGAATACAAATAATTCATGTTCTAATATTTTTGAGGACCCCTGTCAGTCCCTTACAGTCTTCCTAACTTTCCCCCCCCTTAAGGCACCTCCACTGTGGGGCCTTAAAACCGCCTACCTTCTCTGGTCCAAACAGATCCAGAGCGTTCAGGAGCAGAATCTAAAGTTAGAAGGAGGACATACTGGCTGCTGCATAGTTGTCAGAGAAGCCAGCACCTCAAAAGCATGTTTCCTTAATGTCTGATCATATAGTAAGGTCACTTTATCATCTCACTCACTACACATCTCACTGATTGGTCCTTTAATTATAGTTCTAGTTAGTTATGGTTTAAGTATTCTTCAATGTGAGGTAAATCTTCAGGGCACAAATGTAACATCTGCGCATGCGCGGTGGCACCCCATCTAGAACCTTGTCGATGAGTCTCGGCGTTTCTTCACTCTTACGTAAAGTTTTAAATTAAGCCTTAAAAAACGGTTATACTTCCGGTTACATCAATTCATGTTCAAATTAAAGGTCAGCACAGTTACGATTTAGCTCTACAACATGCACATAAACGTTTAAAAGTAACCTGATCACGTGAGTCATACTTTAGTTTAAGTGTTGGTGACAGAAGGAGCTTTCTTAATCCGTTTCCTGGAAACACAGGCGGTACACTTACACGAAGAAACTTTATTTCTAAAGGACAGAGCGGAAGTGGAGAGTGTAGTGACGCTAACTTCCTGTTGTTGACAGTATGGAGGGGCTGAGTCTTTCTAAGTAGCTGCCGGTTGAATTTGGAGATAAAATAATGAAAGAACGAGCTGGTTTGTTGTTTTTAAACCTTCTGAACAGATAAACTGAGGACAGCTGCTCGGTAAGATTCATTATAAGACCTTAACGACACGTTTATAACTTGTTTAAAGAGCAACGCTTCATGAAGTTCAGAGTTAGCTGTGCACTACATCATATTAAACACCAATAAAGAAGATTAAACAAGATACGACGACATTTACACTCACAGCTGCGCTCTGTTCTCCTTCATATTACCTGTTAGCTTCTTCTCAATGTGAGCATGCTAACTGTTCAATCTGGTAGCTTCATTTTTAGCTCGCTAACATAACCATTAGATAAGGCATGTGTCCAACATTTAATCCTTCTGATTTACCTGGACAGGTGTCGTCACTCCCTTAACTATCATCTACAAACGTCAATCCTTCTGATTTACCTGGGCAGGTGTCGTCACTCCCTTAACTATCATCTACAAACGTCAGTCCTTCTGATTTACCTGGACAGGTGTCGTCACTCCCTTAACTATCATCTACAAACGTCAATCCTTCTGATTTACCTGGACAGGTGTCGTCACTCCCTTAACTATCATCTACAAACGTCAATCCTTCTGATTTACCTGGACAGGTGTCGTCACTCCCTTAACTATCATCTACAAACGTCAATCCTTCTGATTTACCTGGACAGGTGTCATCACTCCCTTAACTATCATCTCCAAACGTCAATCCTTCTGATTTACCTGGACAGGTGTCGTCACTCCCTTAACTATCATCTACAAACGTCAATCCTTCTGATTTACCTGGACAGGTGTCGTCACTCCCTTAACTATCATCTACAAACGTCAATCCTTCTGATTTACCTAACCCTAACCTTAACCCTTCTGTCAATAGTTAGCAGGACGCTAACATGCTGTGTTGGGGAAACGCTTCGTATGGTCAGCTCGGCTTGGGGGGCATCGATGAGGAGATCGTCGTCGAGCCTCGAAGGTGTGAATTCTTCCACGGAAAGTACGTGCGTGATGTTGGGTGCGGCCACAGACACACAGCCTTCCTATTGGAGGATGGGACAGTTTACACCTGCGGCTGCAACGACTTGGGACAGCTGGGACACGACAAGACCAGAAAGAAACCGGGTGAGTCATTTTATGAACTGTGACTCGGATCATCTTCATCATCATCATGTAAAGGTGTACCTTAGTCCTCAGAGCAGGTGTACCTTAGTCCTCAGAGCAGGTGTACCTTAGTCCTCAGAGCAGGTGTACCTTAGTCCTCAGAGCAGGTGTACCTTAGTCTTCAGAGCAGGTGTGCACTAAGATCTTCATCATGTAAAGGTGTACCTTTGTCTTTCTCAGAACAGGTGGTGGCTCTGGACGCTCAAATCATCATGGTGTTGGCGTGCGGACAGTCGCACACGCTCGCTGTGAACGACAAAGGTCAGGTGTTCTCGTGGGGTTCGGGCTCAGATGGACAGGTGGGCCTGAATAACTTTGATGAATGTGTTCGCGTGCCTCGGTGAGTTTACTGAAATGATTTATGATCTCAATATTTAAATGTGATGATGATGTCATCACCTCACCTGTCTCTGTGAAACATTAGGAACATAAGGAGTCTGTCAGACGTCCAGATCGCTCAGGTAGCCTGCGGGTTCTGGCACTCTCTGGCTCTGTCGAGAGGTAGGTAACCCTTTCATTCTTTTACTCATTCATGTATCATTCACTCGTTCATGTATCATTCACTGGTTCATGTATCATTCACTCGTTCATGCATCATTCACTGGTTCATGTATCATTCACTGGTTCATGCATTATTCACTGGTTCATGTATCATTCACTGGTTCATGTATCATTCACTCGTTCTTGGATGATTCACTCGTTAATACATCATTCACTCGTTCATGCATGATTCACTCGTTCATACATCATTCACTCGTTCATGCATGATTTACTCGTTCACGCATGATTCACTCGTTCATACATCATTAGCTCGTTCATACATCATTCACTCATTCATGCATGATTCACTCGTTCATAGATGATTCACTCATTCATACATCATTCATTCGTTCATACATCATTCACTCGTTCATGCATAATTCACACGTTAATGCTTCATTCACTTGTTCATAGATGATTCACTCGTTCAAGTATCATTCACTCGTTCATGCGTCATTCACTCGTTCAAGCGTCATTCACTCGTTCATGTGTCATTCACTCGTTCATGTGTCATTCACTCGTTCATGCATCATTCACTCATTCACAAATGACTCGTATGAGTCACTCGTTCATCGCTGATCCATTGGTTCATCTCTTGTGTGTCTGCAGGGGGTCAGGTGTTCTCATGGGGTCAGAACCGGTTCGGGCAGCTCGGTTTGGGGTTAAATGGTCAAAGTATTTCGACGCCTCAGGTCATTCAGTCTCTGCACGGCGTTCCTTTCGCTCAGATATCAGCAGGGGGTGCTCACAGCTTCGCCCTCACTCTGTCGGGGGCCGTGTTCGGGTGGGGGCGCAACAAGTTTGGTCAGCTCGGACTCAACGATACAAACGGTGAGTGCTTAACCTTTGACCTCTCTAAAATAGATATTATCATTTTAAATCAGAGTGAGTTTCGAAGCAGATATTTATTTATAATATTTCATATATATATATATTTTTTTTAAAGATTTATTTTTGGGCTTTTGTGCCTTTTAATGCAGAGACAGGACAGTGGATAGAGTTGGAAACCAGGGAGAGAGAGTGGGGAATGACATGCGGAAAGGGGCCACATAATATTTCATATATTTGATGTGTTTGGTCTTTTTCTTTCAGATCGGTGTTTTCCGATTCTGTTGAAGTCGCTCCGCTCTCAGAGAGTAATCTACATCTCATGTGGTGAGGATCACACAGCGGCGCTCACTAAGTTAAGTTTTTACCTCTTTCTCTGATTGGATGACATTCATTAATGATTGAGTGACTTCCTGTCTCTCTTCACCTGTCAGATCTAATAAAGACAAATTAACAACAATTAAAAATAATACTAACAGGCTAACATGTGCTACTCGTTCACAGGAAGGAGGCGTGTTTACATTCGGAGCGGGAGGATACGGGCAGCTCGGACATAACTCCACCAACCATGAGATCAACCCCAGGAAGGTGTTTGAGCTGATGGGAAACATGGTCACACAGATTTCATGTGGAAGGTAGAGATGATCCTGACCTCTGATCGCACCTAGATCAAAGGTCAAAGGTTAGATTAATAATAATCAGAGCCACCAGGTGAGATTACTCTGACTTTATATCTTTGTACTTGAAGGCAGCACACCTTGTCGTTCACGCCGTCTTTGGGGAAGATGGACTCGTTTGGACTCGGGGGGAATGGGCAGCTTGGCACTCGCTCTACCAGCAACAGAAAAAGCCCCGCCCCCGTCAAAGGACCCTGGGTGTCCTCATCTGCTTTTATGGAATCAGGTGAGATGTGCATCGATTCTATATCCATCTGAACGGATTCTATATCTATCCATACTGATTATATGTCTATCTATACTGATTTTATATCTATCCATACTGATTCTCTATATATCCATACTGATTCTCTATATATCTATACTGATTCTATATCTATCCATACTGATTATATGTCTATCTATACTGATTCTATATCTATCCATACTGATTCTCTATATATCTATACTGATTCTATATCTATCTACTGATTCTATGTCTATCTACTGATTCTATATCTATCCATACTGATTCTATGTCTATCTATACTGATTCTATATCTATCCATACTGATTACATGTCTATCTATACTGATTCTATATCTATCCATACTCATTCTCTATATATCTATCTACTGATTCTATGTCTATCTACTGATTCTATATATATATCTACTGATTCTATGTCTATCTATACTGATTCTGTTTATCTACTGATTCTATATCTATCCATACTGACTCTATGTCTATCTATACTGATTCTATATCTATCCATACTGATTCTATGTCTAGCTTCTGATTCTATGTCTATCTACTGATTCTATATCTATCCATACTGATTCTATATCTATCTATACTGATTTTATATCTATCTACTGATTCTATGTCTATCTTCTGATTCTATTTCTATCTACTGATTCTATGTCTGTCTACTGATTCTATATCTATCTATACTGATTCTATCTATGATCCTCCTCAGTTGGTTAGGGTTCATTCATAAGAGTTAAACAAAATGTTTCAAATCCGGAATTTATTTATTTACAGTTTTGATTCATTTACAGTTTTGATTCATTTACAGTTTTTATTTATTTACAGTTTTTATTTACAGTTTTTATTTGTTTTTCAGTTTTGATTTATTTACAGTTTCGATTTATTTACAGTTTTGATTTATTTACGGTTTTTATTTAGTTTTTATTGGTTTTTCAGTTTTTATTTATTTACAGTTTTTATTTATTTACAGTTTTGATTTATTTACAGTTTTTATTTGTTTACAGTTTTGATTTATTTACAGTTTTGATTTGTTTACAGTGTTTATTTATTTACAGTTTCTATTTATTTACAGTTTTGATTTGTTTACAGACTCGGGGTCGGGGTTCTGCGTGACAAAGATTTACGCTGGAGGAGATCAAAGCTTCGCTCATTATCGCCAAGGCAACGTAAGTTAACCACTTTAATTATATAAATAATAAACATATTCATAATATAAACAATAATTTCTTGTTTTTTTCTATTTTGAATTCAGAACTTTGAAGACGTGACGATGAAAAATCCAAACGGGAACATTTGCTGCTTGAATGAAGAAATAATTCAAAGATGGCTGAACGTGTCATCGGGCCGACTTCCTGCAGAAGTTGCAAAGTAAACTGATGATTGGTCATTCATATTTGAAGGTTGTTGACAGATGTCATTCTGATTGTTGTCATTTTATTTTCAGTCAGATCGACCTCGTGTTCTCGTCGGCTAGCTGTCTGAACGGATCTTTTTTATCATTCAGGTAAAATAAAAGATTCTGTCCTCAGAGTTTCTGCACACAGAGAGAGAGAGAGAGAGGCGGAGCCTGGAGAAAATAACGCTTTGTTGTCTTCATAATGATGCAAAGCAGCAAACACAGCTGGCTGTCAGATAATCAGATCATTACTGTCAGAAGTTCCTGCAGTGGACAGTTAGTGCACGTGAAGCAGGGCTCTTTACTGCTGTCTTCATTCTCATAGAGGATCTTTAAAATGAAGCAGCAAACACAGGATGCTGTCAAATAATCAGTAGAGATCAAACACAACATCTATCAGTGTCCAAAGAGACGTGCTAGCTGTATGTAACCTTTATGTTTTCTTCACAGTCATCCGATCACTTCAGTACCAGCAGGAAGTGTTCCGGTGTGGACATGAACACAGCTCGCCTCCTGTTTCACAGATTGATAACACCTGAGCATCCAGAGATCACTCAGCAGGTAGACGTCACATTTTTGGAGAATCTGATGTTTCATGACATCATGCTGCAGTCCCTTCAAATAAACATGTTTGTGTTCCTGTGTCAGATAGCTGCCAGTCTGGAGAAGAACCTGATTCCCAGACTGAGCACTTCTCCTCCAGACATCGAAGCTCTGAGACTTTTCCTCACGCTGCCTGAATGTCCTCTCTTCAGCGACCGTAAAAATTATGTCACCATCACCATCCCCTTCGCCAAATCGCTGCTGTGCCTGAAAGACGCTCCGCTAAAGGTGCTCGGTACGAAGAGCGGCTTGTTCTTTTCCTTTTTGCTATTTTTATCGTCTCTCAAACGTAATTTCTTCATCTCTTGTTTTGTGTCGTCTCTGAGCACAGGTCACTGGTGGTCCACGTTGGAGCCCCCGTCTTCCAGCGCCTCGTGGCGTTGTATAAGGAGGTGGTGGTTTATCTGCTGCAGATGCACAGAGTCGGGATTCCTTCAGCAGAGCAGAGAATCTTCACCTGTTTCCTCGACACGTCGCTGCGCCTGCTCCAGATTCTGCACTCTGTAAAAACTGAAAACATTCATACAAACATCTGAAACATGACACATCAAAAAGAAAGATGTCACATGAAGCGTTATGTAAACATCAGTTTCCTGTGGCTGCAGGTGAACGAGCGAGAGGCGCACATCATCCAGTACGATAAATTTTACATCCACGAGTTGGACGAGCTGATGGACATCAGAAACGACTACGTCAGGTGGATTCAGAGACAAATGTATCCCATGGTGCGTCTGCTCTTCAACTTCTTCTTTTGTGGTTTATTCGTGTGTAAGTAAATGATTGATCAATCTCTCTGGATCGTTTACTTCTGTCTCAGGATCAGGACGGCGGGGTGACTCTGTGCAGGTTTCCGTTTGTGTTTGATGCTCAGGCCAAGACGACGCTGCTGCAGACGGATGCAGTCATCCAAATGCAGGTGATTCAGACTCTTGAATCATCCAATCATTCCAGCATTTCTTATCATTATATTAAATAACATTGTATTTAAAGATGGCGGTGGATCAGGCTCAGATGCAGAACTTCAGCTCCATGTTCATGCCAGCCGTCGAGTCGGTGAATCCGTGTCTCATCCTGATCGTCCGGCGGGAGGACATTGTGGGAGACACCATGGAGGTCCTCAGGAAGTCCAAGAACGTGGACTACAAAAAACCACTGAAGGTACAACCCTCTTTAATATACAGTCGATCTTATGATGGGAATGTTTGAGAGATTCTAAAAGGATTAAGTGACCCTCTCAAAGAGATTCTCTTTATACCTGACCATCACCTGATCTTTACCTGATTTATACCTGATTTATACCTGACTATCACCTGATCTTTACCTGATTTATACCTGATTTATACATGACCATCACCTGATCTTTACCTGATTTATACCTGACTATCACCTGATCTTTACCTGATTTATACCTGATTTATACATGACCATCACCTGATCTTTACCTGATTTATACCTGACTATCACCTGATCTTTACCTGATTTATACCTGATTTATACATGACCATCACCTGATCTTTACCTGATTTATACATGACCATCACCTGATCTTTACTTGATTTATACATGACCATCACCTGATCTTTACTTGATTTATACCTGATTTATACCTGACCATCACCTGATCTTTACCTGATTTATACCTGATTTATACCTGACTATCACCTGATCTTTACCTGATTTATACCTGATTTATACATGACCATCACCTGATCTTTACCTGATTTATACATGACCATCACCTGATCTTTACTTGATTTATACATGACCATCACCTGATCTTTACCTGATTTATACCTGATTTATACCTGACCATCACCTGATCTTTACCTGATTTATACATGACCATCACCTGATCTTTACCTGATTTATACATGATCATCACCTGATCTTTACCTGATTTATACATGATCATCACCTGATCTTTACTTGATTTATACATGACCATCACCTGATCTTTACTTGATTTATACCTGATTTATACATGACCATCACCTGATCTTTACTTGATTTATACCTGATTTATACCTGACCATCACCTGATCTTTACCTGATTTATACATGACCATCACCTGATCTTTACTTAATTTATACATGATCATCACCTGATTTATACATGATCATCATCTGATCTTTACCTGATTTATACCTGATTTATACCTGATCATCATCTGATCTTTACCTGATTTATACATGATCATCACCTGATCTTTACCTGATTTATACATGATCATCATCTGATCTTTACCTGATTTATACCTGATTTATACATGACCATCACCTGATCTTTACTTGATTTATACCTGATTTATACCTGACCATCACCTGATCTTTACCTGATTTATACCTGATTTATACATGACCATCACCTGATCTTTACCTGATTTATACCTGATTTATACATGACCATCACCTGATCTTTACTTAATTTATACATGATCATCACCTGATCTTTACCTGATTTATACATGATCATCATCTGATCTTTACCTGATTTATACATGATCATCACCTGATCTTTACCTGATTTATACATGATCATCATCTGATCTTTACCTGATTTATACCTGATTTATACCTGATCATCACCTGATCTTTACCTGATTTATACCTGATTTTTACCTGATCATTTAATCTGATGATGGCAGGTGATATTTGTGGGGAGGAGGCGGTCGATGCAGGTGGGGTGAGGAAAGAGTTTTTTCTGCTGATCATGAAGGAGCTGCTGGATCCTAAATATGGAATGTTTCGTTACCATGACGACTCAAGGCTCATCTGGTTTTCAAACAAGGTACTGACAAAATCATCTTTCTTTGAAATTAATTATATTTAATCTTTGAAGCTGACTCACTCTGAACTCAAACTGGATCCAGACTGGGCTCACTTTCCTGGATCCTGTGCAGTTGGTTTGAATGGTATAAATTCTGATAGTGATATTTTGGTTTTGATGCGTCTTTAATGTGAACAGTCACACAAAGCAGCTGGGATCTTTTTAACACGGTTGCTTGTTCAGTATTTGTGTCTCTCGATCTTCTCCTGCAGACGTTTGAGGACATCGACCTCTTTCATCTGATTGGGGTCATCTGCGGTCTGGCCATCTATAATTTCACTATCGTGGAGCTGAACTTTCCGGTGGCCCTTTACAAGAAGCTGCTGAAGAAGAAGCCCACACTGGATGACCTGAAAGAGTTGCAGCCCGCCGTGGGAAGGTCAGAGGAGGAGTGTTTTATTCAGAGATGAAGACGATACAGATGAATGAACACACAAGGGGTTAATAAAAAGAGGAGATTTTAAACTGTCTTCTTTTGAACCAGGAGTCTGCAGCAGCTGTTGGACTACCCAGAGGACGACCTGGAGGAGACCTTCTGCCTGAACTTCACCGTAAGAATGGTTCAGCAGCATGAAGTCAACCTAAATACTAAAAGTCATCATGATGAATGAACTGAGAGTCTCGATACTCAAACATGAACGGTGTTTCTGCAGATCACAGAAGATAACTACGGAGCCACCGAGGTGTTGGAACTCGTTCCAAACGGTGAAAACATCAACGTGAATAAATCCAACAGGTCACATCTGAACTTTTTCTTTCTGTCCAATCAGCAGAACAACTTTGTGTAGCTTTGACAGGTTAGCTTAGCTTAGCATAAAGTGTAGAACAGCTTGGCTCAACCTGTGAATGAAAACATTTAATATCTTTAATCTCATTGAGTCTGACTTTGTGTTCAGAGCCCGGCAGCTGCTGTCTGTCATTAAATATATTATTAAATATATTATTACATATATGATTATTAAATATATTATTTTGTGTTTATACTCTCCGGTTTCCCTCCTGCAGGCAAGACTTTGTTGATGCGTACATCGACTACATGTTCAACACTTCGGTTGCTCCGCTGTTTGAATGTTTCTACGCCGGTTTCCATAAAGTCTGCGGCGGGAAAGTTCTTGAACTTTTCCATCCAAATGAACTGCAGGCCATGGTGATCGGAAACACCAACTACGACTGGACGGAGCTCCAAAAGGTCTCCTCTCTACACCTCTCTCATGGTAAACTGTGACCTGTCTGTTTCTCTCTCCTGAATTCAAATGGTGTGTGTGTCCCCGTGTGTCCCTCCTTAGAGCACGGAGTACAAAGGCGAGTACTGGGCCGACCATCCACCATCAGACTCTTCTGGGACGTCTTCCATGACCTTCCTTTAGAGAAGAAGAAACAGTTTCTGTGTAAGTGATGTCACCAGTGTCTCTTTATCAGACATGTTGATTCAGTGAAATGAAGAGTGTGTGTGTCTCAGTGTTTCTCACAGGAAGTGACCGCATTCCCATCCTGGGCATGAAGAGCCTGAAGCTTGTGATCCAGCCCACAGGTGGAGGGCAGCAGTACTTACCTGTCGCTCACACCTGCTTCAACCTGCTTGACCTGCCAAAGTACACGAGCGCTCAAACTCTGAGAGAGAAACTTTTACACGCCATAGATCACAACCAGGGCTTCAATCTGGCCTGAGCTTCAGACGAGGAGACGCCACACAAGGAGACGCTACACGAGGAGACGCCAGACTCATGACGTCATATTTGGACACGACTAGCTGAAGATGATGTGTTGGACTGATGGCGAGGAGTCAAACTGTCTCTGATGTTGATTTCAAACGTTCTGATATCTCAGTATTTTAGATTACAATCATTCCTGGTTACCGTAACGACTGCTGTGTTTGTTTCTCTGCATGATGACCTCATGAGCTCAGCTTCAGATAGTCATAATGACACGTTGATGTCGCTCATGCTATCTGTTTATTGCACTGAAGTAAATTTAAAACAACAGCTGGCTGTATTTGAAATTAAGATTTACGTGGAGTTTGGGGGGGGGGGAGATATCCACCGGAGGAAAATCAAGCCTCAACGTTGTAAACAATGACGTACAGTAGCTAACTTCCACCAGCAGATGGCGCAGCGAGGACTCAGCTTTGAGCTTTTCACCTGGAACCAACTTTAAAAGTAAGTAAACACTGATTAACTATAACGTTGATCTTAATTTCAAATACAGCCAGCTGTTGTTTTAAATTTACTGAAGTGTAATAAATTGATAGCAGGAGCGAGCTAACTACAGGTAGCAAGATAAACTTATCTGGTGAGGGTACACTCTAGCAACCCCGGAGCACATCGGGCCCTGATTGGATGGTGAAGAGCCGGGTCAAATCCAGTGTCGCCATTGGCTGATACTAAAGAGCGAAAAGTCTCCGTGGATGTAGGCTGTTATGTACATGTCGAAGTGGATGGTTTTGTACGTTAATCAATGAATCTGCATTGCTATCAGATAACAGCCTACAGTTACACATAAGCATTCACTTATCTGCGCGCATAACAGGCTACATACACAAGCCTATCCGCCCGCCACAGAAAAATGATGACCTGTGAGGCGTGGCGGCTGTAAGCCTTAAAGAAGTCCGAGTGCAGCCACTGACACTAAATGTGAAACGTGGTCTGGTGTTTGTTTTGATCAAACATGAAAAAGGACAGAGGGGGAAGCTGAGAGAAATGTTTTAATGATAAACTGTATGGGTTAAATACAGACAGTACCCTGAGTGACCATCAGGGGGCAGTAGACTTTGTTTTCAGTGAGGAAGCTCGTGGTGGACGAGTTGATAATGAGAGCCACAGGATGGACATCGCTGAGCGTGTCCTTCATGCACCCAGAACCAGACGATGGCCGTGTTGTCCTCCTCACCTGCACACAAAATCACAAGATTATTTCATTGAACGGTCGACCGCCGTTCATCCTGACGTCTGCTCTGCTCGCCACTCACACAGACAACCGACCAGCCGCTTGTTTCCGATGGACGGGACGATGGACGGGACGATATGCGGCTCGTCTTGGGTTCCTGCGTACTCCTTTGGCTTCAGCATGCTGTACGGGTCCTTTCACCGAGACAGAAAAATCAATATTATTAATATCACATGATGTCCAATAAATAAAAGCTGTAATCAATAGAAGAGTATGTTCAACTCTTTCACATAAATCAATCATGATGAATAAAAAGCGATTATATAAAAAGGTGAGTGTGTTTACCTTCCCGTGTTTTAACGCCTGCAGAGCGCGGCGCTCCAGCCGGTCGCCTGCTCCTCATCAGTCGGTATTCCTGAAACAAAAGAGAAGTTCCTGTCTTCATCAGCTTTATAAATAAAGTTTGAATTTTGATTCATTAAGCCCCTCCCACACTGAGACAGGAAGTGTCCATCAAAGCCAGGTGACCTTCACCTCTCTGCTCATTAACGTCCATTTTTAATACAAACAACTTTTAATTCACGCGAGTCCAAAAGCAGAAGCACGCGGCGCGCTGACGTCACTGATAGAGATCTAAAAATAACTGGATCATAAAAAAGTGCAGATTAAAAAGTGAAACACGGATTATATGTTACTTTAATGATGGAAAGAAGAGCTGCTCTCTTTGATGTAACACTCATTCAAGGTTGAATTCACTCATGTCCGTTATTAAGGTGAATGTTAGAAACACTGACCTTTCAGCGTCGACAGGTTGCTCCTCAGCTGGAAAGTTGCTGCAGTTGCTCTGATTGTTGTTGTTGTTGCTCTGATTGTTGTTGTTGCCTGATTATTGTTGTTGCTGCAGAAGGTCGGAGAAGAAGCAGCGCGCGTGCCGCCATGATGTCGCACTTTCAGGTAAAGTTACTGAGAATGACCTGAAACGATCAGCTGTCCTCGCTTGACCCGACGGTGTCTGACTGACAGGCTGACGGTCCAATCAGAGCAGACCTGAGGCTGAGTCCACCAATCACAGCGAGAGGATCAGGTGGTCAATACAGTTTCAAGATAACGGACATAAAAGACAACAAACTGTAAATATCAAACACATAATTAAAGGCTCAGACATATTTACAGTCCTAGATTAAAAAACACCAACAAATAAAAACAAATGTTTAACTGAGAAGTGTTATTAAATTCAGAGAGGGAACACGTAAACACTACTAAAACTAAAATAAATTAATACTTTTTTAAATAACACGATTACAGGTTTCTCTCTCTGTCTGTCTGTA